GGCTCCAGCCGCTTCCAGGAGTGCCGCTCCCAGCTGGCGCTCACAGGGAGGGCACCAACACTCCTGCCTACCCCACCCCACACCCATCGCCTGAGCAGCATGCGCAGCCAGTCAAGGGGTGCACTGGCACTCTCAGGCAGTGCACATGCACCCCCCATGCCTCGCCAATGCACATGTGTAATGTGTGACACCATTAAGCCACACAAATTACATTGTCATCACATGTACATCATGACAATCATCATGTGTACAAGTGCCTTATGACTCTTTTCTCAGGTATCACTGATTTCACCATGGCCTCACTCAACACCATCAAATGCTGAATTCTGCCTGAACTTTTTTAAAGCGCAGAAGAAAGGAAAGAAAAAAGAAAACATCCTCTTCTCCCCTCTGAGCAGCTCAGTTACCCTGTGCGTGGCCTTGGTGCCAGAGACAACACAACAAAACAGATGGAGAAGGTAGGTTTCTTTCACCGTGCTGGTGCAGGAAGTATTAACTCTTCCTGCTAGTACATGCTAAAATGCAGAGCACTCCAAAAAACATTCCAACAGTGGGGCACAAATTCTTGAATAATAATGATCAATATTTAAAGCCCTTAAATGCATGCATCTTATTCCCTGATAAAGGAAAGATAGTACCACAGATCAAGAGGCAATTCAGAGAGGGGCTAGTGGCTCTCACAGGCAATGGCACTTTCTGTTTCCTGTCCCTAGTATAAAAGCAGTAGGGCTGAGGCTCACAGGGAAGTCATCCTAGGGGAAACCTTAGCCTGCTTCACTGACAAGCAGTGATACCTATAATCCTACCTATAATATGGAATGAACCTCACCTCAGGTTGATGCCAAGCTGTGAAATTAGGCACTTGATGCATGAGGCACTTGTTTTGTACCTCACTGATTTTTTTTCCATAATTGGATAGTCAGGCTTGCATCTTGAAAACGTAGAACGCTTCAATTGATAACATGGGGAAAAAATAGTGATCATTAGCAAAAAAGCATTTCAAAATCAGAAGTTCTCAAAAACCAAAACCTCTCTAACACATGCTTGCTTACCTCATTTATGCTGGCATGTCACACTTTTCCCATTCTTGTTTTATATGATATGAAATTATACTGTTTGAAGATCAAAAGCTGTTGGTCTGACTACTGTAGTGATATGCATTCATATTTCCTACTTCCCAGCAATACTTAAATTGAACAAAGACACTGTATCATGCAGAGTTAGAACCCGTGGACTTTATATATGCTGCAGAGGAAAACAGAGTAAAGATTAACTCAGAGGCTGCCTTCTCTGGCTCAGAAACTAAGATTCATCTCCCCTGAGCTCCACCCTTTCTAGTCAGGCAGGGGCAAGGGCGATTCCAGAGGGGGTGCAGTACTATACGTGTACCCCCTATCTCTGCCCCCAACCATACCACCAGAGCACTCGCAGCCAGGGACTGAAGTCTTGAAGAAGGTAAGCATTTCTTTCCCCTCCACGCTCAAAGGCATGCCCCCTTCTCTCTCCCTCCCCGCTGTCTGCTGCTGGGACAGCACTTGAGGGGTGAGCCTGTCCTCTCCAGCTGGGCTGCATGAGGGCTATGCTCAGGCCAGGCTGCCAACAGCAGTGAGCAGGTGCATTCCCCTTCCCTGCCTGCTCCCCCCAAGTATTCCCTGCCACACACGTGCTCTGGCCACTGTTGCAACCCTTGCGTTCTCAGCTGCTTCTCCTGCAGCACCTCCTGCCTGCCCCAGTGGGGTGGGGCAGGGAACAAGGGGTGCAGCCACCCCCTGCAGCACCGGCTGCTGTAACCACACCCCACTTTATAATCCTGGATCCATTTCTGGCCACAGGTGCATCTGCGTGAGTAAGTGAGCAGCCTGCTCTCATTTGCTGCTGTTTGCATAGCTGAGCTACAGCCATTTCCCTCCTATGCAATAGGAGCTCTGCCCTGCCACACAGGTAACTCCCAAGTAGTTACTTGCAGTCCCATAGCTCCTACCCCCTGGTTGCTTTCTCCCCTCCTAGCCTTTGCTCAGCTGCACCTTTCTTATGAATATAACAGGGTCTCTTACAATGGCACCTTATTTTTCCAGCACATGAGCTTAATTTTAATACTGGAGCCAACAGAACCACTCACATGTATTAGTTACCCATTTGTGTTTGCAGTTCTGTCTAAATGCACGGTTCATTTCAGTAATAAAAATTAAGTGCACTTTACTCAGGCTGAATAAAAGGAGTTCAAATTACTGGACAGACCTAAAATTCAAATTTGAGGATTTTTCGTGGGAATTGCTATAGGCCAGGGGTTGTCAACTGGGGGTACTTGGAAAGGGGCTAGGGGGTGCACATAGGTGGGCGGGCAGGGACGGAGAGTCGCCACCCAGCACCCTGTGCCACTGCCTCCCAGGAGCAGGGCCAGGGGGAGGGGAGGGCAGTGGCTCCCCTCTGCGGACTGCACAGGCGTTGCCCAACTGGCTAGATGTGGCTGAGAGCTCGCACACAGTGGCCACCACCACCATCCAACAACCCGTGCCACCATCGTGTGCAACCCACCCACTCCCCCCACCCCCAGAACCTGCTCTGTGTCCAGCCACTGCCAACCTCCCCACCCCCACACTCCATGTCCAGCAGCCTCCACCTCCTTCCCTCCTGCTCCACCAGAAGTGTACCCAGAAGGAATACAATCCTTAAAAAGGGTTGAAAACTCCTGCTATAAAGCCATTTGAAAATGGCTCTGTGAATCTGTAAAACTGAGTTCCAAAAGAATTGATGTACTTCTCTCTCAAAGTATGCAAGAGTAGTATAAGGCTCTACAATACACTACGGTATCTTGTTTCTGTTGCATTCCCCTGGAGCTTGGAAACAATCCACAAACATGGTGTGTGAATTTTATCATCACGGTAGTATGACATTAGTGCAGTTTTCAGGCTGACCTTGAGCATTACTGCACTGCATTTTGATGGCTATTGCAGCTGGTATCTGAATCAGGATAATAAAACTGAACAAAATCACAACCTTACCCAGGAAGAGAACACATCTTCCTGTAAGAAAATAGCAAAAGCTCCACCATTTATCCATTTAAGAACAAGCATGTGCCTATGATCTTGTACAAGTTGTCTTCCCTGTATTTATGGTGTTGACGAGGATAGCAGAATGTACAATATTAATTTTGGGTTTTTTCTTATGCCTTAGCAGCAGCATAGCAGTGGGTGGGCAAGTAGGCACCAGCCCCAGGTGCCACTCAGAGGGGTTACCAAAATGGCAGCTTCCTGGGGACCCCATGGCACTGCAGCAGCAGCCTCACACATGGGTGGATCTAGAATTTTGAAAAGGGGGTACAGATGGGGAGGTGCATCAACACATACAAAACTATACATTTTTCTCCAGTTAAAAAATGAACTAGAAGATTTACTAATATGCTAGGGGGCTAGGGCTGTTTTATGCAATTTAAGAGTGAAGCAAAAATAAATATGACTTCATTGTAATAAGTTAAAAACTATCTGCAGGGCTGTGAAATAGGAGCTTTAAGACCAGAACCAGCTAACAGGATTGCAGAACAAAGAATAGTGTGTGGGGTGGAACATCAAGACCATTAAAAAGAAGAGAGGTTCATTAACACCTGTGCAATGAAGAGTTTAGGAGGGATCAGGTGCATGATAATGAGCCAGGAAGCAACTCCCTCAGCACTGCCTGACTTGAAATGCTGCTGCCACTGTCAGGCAGTTGTTTTTATACTTTGGATGGACAAGGACTCAAAGCAGGGCAGTGTACCCCCCACTATCTACCCCTGGCCCCACACTGCAACTGTAACAGCAGCAGCCAGATACAGGGACTGAAAAATTCTCACTTGCATTAAGAATCAGAAAGAAAACAAATGCCAAGACTGTGACAGTACAGTATTCACCCCATAGTTTTCTTGGGTTCAGGCAATTCCCCAGAATACACCAGAGCTTGGTACAATATTTCACTACTCTCACCTCGTCCCCAGTAAATGGATATGTGAGCCACATTGTGGGGTTTATGCATGCACTCTGTAAACAGTTGACCGAAGAGAAATGTGCCGTGTCACAGTTCTGAGCCTCCTGTGCTGTGATAGATATGCAAAGGCATCTGGTCTAGGCATCCAGAGTCATAGCAGGGACTCTGCATTTATACTCCTGTGACTTTTCCTGACTCCAGGACACACGCATGCATGCACACACACATGCACGCATACTCAACCTCACTACCTTTCCCCTCCCAGAACTTAGCACTGAAGTGAATGCTAGAAATTTTGGATGGAACTGCACTCCTTCATGTCACAGTAAGAGCTCTGCCAACCTTCTCCGAGTAGTCTCTACCCCATCCAGCACAGCTGCATCCAACAGTGGGATGCACACAGACGAAGCCTGGAGTTCAAAGCTGTGGGACCCGATACAACACACACAGCAGCACATTCTCTTAGTCATTCCCACATCTAATTTCATAGCACCACTACTCCCAAGCCTTTCTTATTAGCCATTTTCAGTGTCAAAGAGCAAGACTGTTATAAAAGAAGCGTGTACATTAATGTAGTATGGTCTGATTTTCAGAAGTTTAAGATTAGCCATTTCCCCGCACATCTGGAAAGGCATGAGGCAGTAACTTTAATTCTGTTAGTAATATCGACAGGCAGTTAACAGACCTTGATGACAAATCTCTCCTATTAATCTAATCTGGCTATGGAAAATGAATCTGCCCAAGTGACTAGCCTGGTGCCCAGATGGGGGAAGACCTGAATTCAAGTCTCTGCTCCATTACCTCATGAACAGAGGTGGTTGCTCAGCTCTACATCAGCCAGACTGGACTTCCACTCCTCTTTCCTACTCCATCTAAATGCATCTCAGCCTTCCTTACTACCAGCAGCCACCCAGCACACAAAGTGGAGGTGCTCGGCTTACCATCTCAGTCCCATCCCATCTCTTCTACTAAAACCAGAGGGGAGTTCTCTGAAATCCCTTGCTGGAGTAAGAGTCTACTCCATTTCTTTCTGGCTGCAGCGGGGTGTCTGTGACTACTTCCACCTACCACAGCTTCTAAAGATAGTCATAGTGTCATCGTGCCTATCACTTCTCATGGTTGCTGGAAATAAGAGTAAGAGGGATTGACTGTATGGGTGGAATCCTGATCCAATTTATATCACTTTTCTGCAAGAATTTCAGTGGAGCCAGGGCAGCATCCATAGCTCTCTGAATCATACACAGTTCTTTAACTGGCTGATTTGAATGGTTTGCTTGCAGGATTGACCTCGAGTAACTTAAATTTTCACTGCCGTTCCAGACACTCTTCAGGAGACCTGCATAGAAAGCTCACATAGTTACTTCTGCATTTCCAAGAGGAAGGTATGAAAATACAATGGATTCCCACCCAGAAGGCAAAAAAAAATGGTAACTAGGGGAATAAAGAGCAGATTAACCAATAACTTGTTAAACAAATTATGCTTTCTTCATTAACCCAGCTCTAGTGGCTAATATAGTCCAAGTCCATTTCATGTATAAAATCAAACAGCAGCAAATATAGTTTGGCTCAGATCCCTGGATATGCTACCATAAAATACATACACAATCCATTCTGTGTCTTGGAATGACACCCCCTTAGTTTTATTCTCTAAAACGTTGTTACTTTAGTGAGCCTGTGTTTTGACCTGCATGCTAGAGAAGCATCAAAAGTCATCCCGTGCATTTCTCCACATAATCCTGGAAGCTTGCCCAACACCTGGTAAACTGCGGTGGTAATTCACCTCTGAAGATCGTAAGGAAAACATTTCTCTTGGTTAAAATGTAACTTCTAGCTTGCAGTTTTCCAAGTGACACCCGGATGGTATTTACTTTTTTAAAAGTGAATGCATTGTGTTTGAGAACATTAAGGTCAGGACATTTTAAAAGAAATTTCAACTTGCCTTCCACATACAAATGTTACACTATTTTACCATTGTATATCCTTCAGCATGTAAATACCAAGTGTCTTTTTATATGAACTATGGTTTGGTTTTCCTGATTACCTCAATTTTAAAATCTCAACTATGTTGTCATTTTACAACATTTCCTCATATTTGCTTTCCTTCATTGCTTTCACTTTAATGTTTGAAATAGAAGAACAGAGCTTTATATGGTCTCAAACACCAGAAAAAGATGCATAATGAACAAACGTAGGTTTTTGGATTCCACA